ATACCCTGTTATTGACTGATAGCAAGAGCTGTACCAGGGGAAGAGAAATCCAAAATTCACACCATGACTGAAGTGGTCCTCAATGCTTATTCATGTGTTCTTGTTGTTTTTCATAGTCATAAACTCAAGAAGATGTCACTGTAATGTGGCTTTTGAAATGGAACTAGACACAGAGGCGGCTGCAGAACCTAAATTAGGTTGGAATCATCTCTTTGTACACGATGTGTGCTTACTGACCATTATTCCTGACTTCTTTGGAACCACTGAACTACTGAAGTTGATTCATATTGCATCATTTGTTTGCTTGACTTAAGCATTTTGTCAAAGTTGCTTTTTTCTTTGCTTATATACAATATTTGATTACTGTGTAAAGAAGAAAACTGTTTTAAACTATTATAGAAAATATGTGCCCTATTGGGTTCAGAGCATTTGGATGTCATTTGTGCTATTTAGCATAAGTAAAATAGATAATTTATTCTATTTATTGTTACATCATAGGCATTTTTTGTGCCAAAAGCTGTTCCCTTTTAATTCTAAGTAATGTGATCAAGAAAAAATGGATTAAATATTTTGGACTATTGTAAAAACATGTGCTTGAGAGAAAGTGGAGTCTGTGGAAACTTTAAAAATTACATTAAAAATCCAAAATGAGACTTGTTTTATTGGCAATTTATTGTATACCATGGATATCAAAAGCCCTTGTGTTCCAGAACATCCAGGCCAGACCATTCTTTATCTGTCCTACATCTGTAAATGACATTGGATGCCTCTTTTGTTTCACTCTACATTTGCATTAGGAAAGTTGTAGACATCACGGTGTATATGAACCCTCCCTCTCTCCCCCCGGCAGAAAAAAAGCAGCTATCTACTGCATATTAGTTCCACGTGACAAGCTGTTCTTGGTCTGATCTTGCCTTTGTCAAACTGAGAGAGTTCCTCTGCCAGTCCCTAAATATATTTAGGAGGGAAAAAAAAACACCTCAGGGATGGAGGCTACCATTGATCTTTGCTTCTTGATAATGTAATGGGGATGCTGCCACGCCCCCTGAGGAGGCTTTGAAAACCAAACCAGCCAAACATCAAAAAGCATATGTAACTAGTCGCCTTTTTAGTCCAAGCAGCAGCTCTTCAGAGCTGGCTCTCTGGGAGGTACCAGGCTTCAATCCACCAAAGACATAAGCACATGTGTAACTTTATGCACAGGAGCAGTCCTACTGGCCTCTGCCTGCTCCCTCCTGCCTGGCTTTCTGCTATAGTTTTAAAAAAAGCAGTGCACATATCTTCACAGGACAGTCTCATGGCTTGTTTGCTGGTTAGGGGTGGGTGGCAAGACCTATTCCTCAGTGGATTGACCAGGAAGCAGTCCCTGTAAAGAGCACTTTGCAGATATTTCCTCTCGTTTAGCTCACTCCACAGGTTTGCTGTGCTGCAGTGGGTTATCGGGCCCTGTGCTATAAACTGCTTACAGGACAAGACCCATGTACCATTCTAGGGCTTGGGCAAGGGCACCAGTTACTAAATGAGTATTAAGCCTGTTATATGTTGACACAAGCCATGTTCAATGATTTATTAATTTATTTTGAGATATAATAATTATAAGCACCTTTCTTGGGCACTGAGCAGAGTCAGAATAATTAAAATATAGTTGCCATTAGTTAGAGCCCATCATGCCGCTAACTTGTTAAAAGGCTGAGTAAGAATGGTTATGTAGACAAAGCCTGTAGGACTGTAACAGTCCTTGACAGGAGCCTCAGTTGAAACTTCAGTGGTGGTGGGATAATTCTTCCCAAGGTGTGGAAACTCTTTGCTTTCAGGGGCAAACCCTGTTGATATCAGTAGCAAATTCCCATTGAACTCAGTGGGATCACAAGTTACTGGGGCGAGTTGCAGGAGTTGCTGGGTGAATTGTTTGGCCTGCTTTATTCAGAGATCTCCTGTGTTTCAGTCTTCTTAGAAACTAGAAAAGATTATCACAATGGTCCCTTCTGGCTATAAATGAGTCTGTGACCATGATCTGGTCCTAACTTACTACTGTTAAGAAACCTATCTTCACTGTTGACTTTGAATTTTTGGTTTACTTAAAGATACTTTGGTTTTTTCTTCATTATATTTCTAGTTCCTGTTTTTAATTAAGTCTTATCTGAAGTCTCTCTGTCTAGACTTTTCCTTTCTAACAGTTTCCTTTGGTTAATTTAACCATTATTTCATTTCCACATCTCTATTTATGTCCTCTGCTTCCTCCCCTGAATGCTAATCCTATGTCTCAGTCCTGCCTCATCTGTTCACTCTTGGCCACCAAAATAGCACCACATTCCCTCTCCCTGAATTTCAGTCTTCTGACGAAATATCACCTCAGAGATTCCTTTATTTCAGGGGTTCTCAAACTGGGGGTTGGGACCCTTCAGGGGGTCACGAGGTTATTACATGGGGAGTCGCGAGCTGTCAACCTCCACCCCAACCCCGCTTTGCCTCCAGCATTTATAATGATGTTAAATATATAAAAGTGTTTTTAATTTATAAGGGGGCGGGGGTCACACTCAGAGGCTTGCTATGTGAAAGGGGTCACCAATAAAAAAGTTTGAGAACCACTGCTTTATTTAAACCACCACAAGCAGCTGGTGGCAGTTTGACACTTCTCCTCCAAGTCTGTTATTGATCATTGCCCTTTGTTTAAGGCTCTTTACCCAGATTTCAGTTCCCATTACAATGGCTTTATCCAAGCCTATTTGAATGACATTTTCAGCTATAATTTTATGGGGTTCTATGTTCAAAGTTCTACTGAAATCCGAATATGTCACTGTACGTACTTGTTACTGTTTTCTTTTACTCTGTTTTTAAATGGCTCCCAAGTATAGGCTGGGTACATTTTTACCCCCAAAATTTATTGTCTGTGATTCTAAAGGAGATGGGATACAAGAAAGGGAACTGAGATCCTTGGTTTTCCCTTCACAGCAAGGTACCAATGAGACAAGGGCTATTACTGCTTTTAGTGAACATCCTCATGATGATTTTATTATTTATTTTAGTCTATAGAGGTTCTTATAGTGCCCTCATCACTAGAGTAGTGTATTAAACATTGGTTTCAGAGTAACAGCCGTGTTAGTCTGTATTCGCAAAAAGAAAAGGAGTACTTGTGGCACCTTAGAGACTAACCAATTTATTTGAGCATGAGCTTTAGTGAGCTACAGCTCACTTCATCGGATGCATACCGTGGAAACTACAGCAGACTTTATATATACACAGAGAATATGAAACAATACCTCCTCCCAGCAGGACAGTGGGGTGGGAGGAGGTATTGTTTCATATTCTCTGTGTATATATAAAGTCTGCTGTAGTTTCCACGGTATGCATCCGATGAAGTGAGCTGTAGCTCACGAAAGCTCATGCTCAAATAAATTGGTTAGTCTCTAAGGTGCCACAAGTACTCCTTTTCTTTTTGCGTATTAAACATTGTAACTAACATCTGTCATGGGTAGTTTTGTTCTCTCTCTCATCTCCTCCCCGATGGAGAATTGAGAGGCAGAGAGAGGCTGCATTAAATAGCATTTTGGAGGCCATCCCAATGTAGGAGTTAAATGTAATTTTGGTAACTCTGGTTCAGGAATCATGAGGAGTGAGTTATTTTACATTGGTTTCAGGACAGGGACAGCATCTTCCTGTGTGTGTGTACAGCACCTTTTAGTACAATGGGACCTCACTGTTGACCGGGGTCTTTGAATACTATGGTAGCTGTACAAATAATAAGCAACAGAAGCTGTGTGTGCTGAGCACCTCTAAGAAAATAAACCATTTAGTTGCCTACATATGGAGTTAGGTGCATAACTTTAGGCACCTCAGCTGCAGCCAAATGCTGCTTGGTGGCGGTGAGGAAGGAGTCCAATGGGTGGCCATTGTGGTGGTCATCATCCTGGCCCCATCTCTGGAATAAAGTAAAGTTGGGTTGCTTTGATTTATGCTGGCTGCCTACGGTCCAAGTAGCTGGAGATTGGCAGCTCTATGTGGGGGTAATCCTCAAGGAGTTGCTGAAAGTGGTTTTAGGGCTGTTTTTTTCCATTGGAGCTAAAAGCTCCCAGTGGGTTATAATCCCACCTCCCTCTGTTTCAGGTTGTACCCTAACTAGCCACATTTACCCTCAGAGGTCTGTTAAGATGGACACTCCCTGCAGAATTTCAACCCTTGCTAATGTGGGGGTAAGACAAAAAGGAGAACATGCCAACAGTGATACCTGAAGCTTTAGAGGAAGACACAGTTTCTGGCCCAAGCAGCTTAGATACAAGGAAGGGACCCAGAACAAAGTGACACAGATGTGTCTGGGGAGGGCTCATGTGAGAAGTATATTTTGAGAGTATTTAAATGAAGAGGGGGAGAATATTTGGTGCTTGAGAACAGAGTTTCAAATATAAGGAGTGACCTGGATGAAGGCACAGAGGCCAGCATGGAGGTGGGGCAATTAGAAAGAAGGCTTGGGAGAAAGGATGGGCAGCCAGAGGGAGAAGAGGAGAAATAAGAGGAGCAATGTTGGTGGGGGAGATTTGCACAGGGCCTTGGTGGGGAGAGCACGATGCGAGAGCTTTCTGAGGAAGAGGAGTCCAGGGAAAGGCATTCAAAGCAGTGGTGACATGAGCTGAGTAGAGGTTTGTGAAAATTTAGCAAACGGAGCACTAGCTCATTTCAGTGTGGGCTCTCTGTCTCGTCTGCTGTCGCTCACGGTCCCACACCCACAAGTGCTCAGGTGCTTCACCCAAATAACCATGAACTAACAGGGTTTTTTATTTCCTTCTCGGCTGAATTTGTTTTCCATCCTGATTGGAGAAAAAAGTCCCCAGAGAGTTGATGCCTAGGACGTCATGAAGCAGGTTAACCAGCCTAAAGGAACGGTTGAAGGAAATACCCTCTGAAAGGGGAGTGGAACACACACTTGTAGGAATTTCCTGAGGTCATGAGCAGATTATATAAGCAGGTTGTCCATGGCCAAAGCAATCAGTTCAGAGCAGCTGATTTTCTGATATACCTTAAGTGAAGCTTTAAGTAAACTCAACTGTTGAGCTGAAAATGACAGGCTTTGGCAGCATGAGCTTTATCATGGCTTCTTTGGTGGGGCTGCTGTGCCTCTTCTGCACTTCTGAGGGTGAGTAATGTTTGCTTTTGGAGCCATGTGTCTAGAGGCAGAAAAGTTGGTAGAGAGTATGATAATTATGTTGAGTAATTTGAGCTGTGAGGGTAGCAGCAGGTCTCCTAGGGCATTACACTATTGTGCAGGGCTCTCCCCTCCCTCCTTCTTTCTTTAATTTTATTTTGTAATGAAAAGTGCCAGAGAACAGATATAGTATGAAAGGTGGTTGTGAAAGTATGAAGTATGAAAGCCATACTCAACCTATTCTGTGTATCCCCTCTTAGGTACTGTAGCTCAGTCTCTGTGCATAATTAATCTTAGTCACCACAGCTGACAATGCCAGATGAGGTGTCAGTTCTGACCATTGGGGGTTTACTTGCTGCTATTTTTACTTTTAAATCTTTTTTTTTTTTTTAATGATGAGCTTTCCTATCGCTACAGATCTGGCTTAGCCTCCACTAAGGGGATTATGACACATCCTTAATTTGAGGTCTTTGTCCCACCTACAGGATGAAAATTAATTCTATTCCACTCATTTTTAATGCATTTTTCCCCATTCCAGCCCAAAGCAACCAAGACTGCTGCCTCTCCTACATGAGAACTGAACTGCCTCGTCGGGCCATCAATGGCTACACGGAACAGTTATCAAATGAAATCTGTGACATCGGTGCTATCGTGTAAGTTACCAGCTGAAAGAGATTTAGTTGCAATAGACCACTATCTGTACTTATGTCAGAAGACTTGGCCTTTGAACCTAGACTAAAGGGGAAATGGCTTTAATCATAAATAAACTGTATTTCCTTATTTGGATCTATGAAATCTAATCCTATAAAATTAATTTAAAGTAGAAAGAACTTTTATACCTATAGGGCATAAATTATTAGGAAAGTGCTTGACTCACATTCTCACACAGTATCTGTATGCTGTACATTTAAGTCCCAAGTGTTTTGAAATGCTAGGTAAAGGTACAGACAGTGGCAAAGGTCCTGCACGTTGGCAATATAAGACATACTTCATATTACTGGAAAATGAGTTTCTGTGAAATAGTGATCATTATCTAAATTGTCCTTTCACAGTTAAACTCAACTCTTCTGCCTTTACTTTTGAGTGGAGCACCCATATCATGCATTTTGTTCTATTGAATTAGTGTTCGGTTGAATGCAGCTCTTTATGGCTCAGTAGCAGAACCTTATTGTCATTATTCCCTCTACCTTTCCTTCCAGTTTCCACACAAAGAGTGGGTTGAAAGCATGTGCAAATCCAGAAGACAATTGGGTGAAGAAGCGTCTTCTTTGGCTGAGGTAGGAATACTTTCAAATCTATTAGCCTGGCCAAAACTGAGTGTGACTAAGTATCCACTCAGAGTGGCAGATCTAAGCTCTTACAGGGGACGGGGTGTACAAGCATGGCTGGGCACATTTTGAAAACGTGTCTTTCGCTTCTTGCTTTTCTTGTGCAGAGGAGAAGCGGGTGTTGGGAGCACATTTGTTTTAGGACAGATAGGGTCAGGATGGAGACAGGTGTTCCATTTGCCCCTCACCCCAGATAGGATAAATGCCATAAATTGCAAATACTGGAATGGAGAAGAGAAATGCAAATTTCAAATCTTTAGCTAAATTAGTTGCTGATGTAAATTCATGCAACACTAGTGAGTGCTGTGGAACTGAACCTGTTTACACCAGCAATGCATTTGGCCCTCTGACTAAAGTAGAACCTGAAGCTTATCCATGCTTTTTCTCTATATTTTTACAGCAAAAAGCTCAAGAAGATGTCAATGTAAGACAGTTTCTGAAATGGAACTAGACAGAGAGGTGGGCTGCAGAACCTAACCTAGGTTAGAATCATCTCATTGTACACTGTTGTGTGCTTGCTATCTACCTATTACTTGCTTCTTTGGAACCATTGAACGACTGAAGTTGATTCATATTGCATCACTTGTTTGCTTGACTTAAGCACTGTGTAAAAGTTTCTCTTTCTTTGCTACCATATATATTACATAGAATCATAGAATCATGTTTGATTACTGTGTAAAATAGAATATGATACACATGTATTGGGTACTGTGTGCCCTACTCGCTTTAGTGTACAGTGTATTCATGCACATTAGCATAAATAAAACAGGGTATTCTGTTCATTTCATTTTTTTGTCTGAAAGAGTTTCCCTTAATTTCTAGTGTGGTTGAAAAATAACATAGGCTAAAGTGAATGTTTAATATAAAGACAATGGATAAAACTTAAGTATTTACTCTGCGGGAAATTCTGCGCCACTGCGCATGCACAGAATTTATGTCCCCTGCAGATTTTCTTTGCTTCCCCACAGAAAAATGACTTTCTGACTGGGAAACAAAGGGAAGCCACAAAAGCAGTCATGCGACCCTCCCCGCCAGTATGTTTTGGGTGCCCAGGGCAGCCAGCAGAGACGGAAATCACTGTGGGGCAGGGGGCAGGACTGGGGAAGACCCGGCTATTGGCTCATACCCTGCACCGGGCTCAGCTGCTAGATCCGGCTGGGGTAGGGAAGATGGGACTTCCTCTTTCCCTGCATGGCATATGGGACTGAGTCAGACCCACCCCCCAGGCTGCAGGAAGCTTTGAAAACTCTCCCACTCCTGCTTTCTGCACCCATCGCTCCTCAGCTGCAGGGGGAGGGATCACTGTACGGGGAGCTGCTCCCGCATCCAACCAACCCCTGTGCATCCAGACCCCCTCATACCCAGACCCTCTCACCAAGCCTCACCCCCTGCACTCAGAACCCCCCACTGCACTCAGAACCCCCCATGATGAGCCCCACTCCTTCTGGTCTGCACTTGGACCACCGTGATGATCCACCCACACCCAGATCCCCACTCCACTGAGCCCCAACCAGCTGCACCTGGTTCCCCCCCCCCCAGAATCTGGACCTGCAACTGCGCCCCCCACATCCAGATCCTCCTGCTGAGCTCTATATCCTCCACACCTAGTTCCCCCCCGCTAAGCCCCAACTACCTTCACCTTGACCCCCCTGCAGAGTCCCATTACTGTTGCACCCAGAACCCCCCAATAAGCCCCTGTGCATCCAGATCCCCCACTGAGCCGCCCGCACCCAGATTGCCCCACACAGAACCCTCTTGACCCACAGCTGGATCCTCCCATACTAAGCCCCTCTATACTTGGATCCTGCCTTGCTGAGCCTGCCTGCCTGCCCACACCTGGTGCACTTGACATGGAGGGGCAGGGCACTGGTCCTTGTGCTGTGTCAGGGTTGGGTGCAGCCTCACTGCTGAGTCTGTGTCTCTGGGGGGAGCTGCACAGTGATCTCCCACCTCTGTGCAGCTAGTGGCCTGTGCTCCCCACTGTCATGCTGGAGCCTCCACATTTATTTGACAAATAAAATTTGCAGAATTTGTAGAATTTTAAAATATTGTGTGCAGAATTTTTAACTTTTTTGCGCAGAATGCCCTCAGGAGTAGGTATTGTATGATTAAAATGCAAAGGTTTGAGAAGGAAACCATGGTGATCATGAATGTGATAATAAAACATTGCATTAGCAACCCCTCCCAAAAGTTGCTGATATGAATTCATATTCCTGAAATAAAACATATTTTGTTCATGAATATCCAGATCACTGTTCCTATGCTCCTGGAATTATATTGCTCATTGCTGTGCATCCATAACTGTAAATTAAAAACAATGGCTCCTCCTCCTCTTACCCACTCTATTTGCCTCATGAAGGCAGTGGGCATTATGGGTGGGGGTGGGGGGGAATCTTCCAGAAGAACTGATGTCTACTGTATATTTGTTCCACATAATAAATTGTTCTGGGCACAGTTGTGCCTCAGTTAAACAGAGGGAGTTTATCTGTTATCATATTTGGTTTGTGCCACAAAAGTTCAGGAATGGGAAGCACAGCAGATCTTTACATGCACTATCAGCCGAGAGGCTAAGGTGTGACTAGCCATGGAAATAGTTACCTACCCATCACAAGAGGTGGTCCCAGAAGGTGTGTTGTACCTGTTCTGTGGATAGAAGACTTCTATTCCTGGGGCTGTTAATCAAGCTAAAGGCTAACTGTCAGATGCAGAAGTGCAAGAGGACTTCCTGTGGTGCTGCCACTAGTTCCCCACTAAGCATGTTCATGCTTCCTCTATAATCTAAGTTACTAGTACAGTAAGGAGCCCATCCTTTCTTTTCCTATGTGGAAGAACAATACAAAACGTTATTGCCCTTGGGACTGTGCAGGTCACCTCAGAGCCCCCAGTGGGCTGTTCATATGGCTTCTTTGACTGATAAGTCAGTGTTGCCAACTCTTATGATTGTATTGTGTCCCTCAATATTTGGTATGTTTCTTAAAGCCCCAGCTCCTGGAATCCTCTGATGCTACCTTGGGCTTTTAGGCACGCATGTAATACAAATAATAATCTCTTCCACAGTGGAGTAATGCCTGTCCTAAAGCCATAGGACAAGAAAGTCCTTGGGTATTGTGCACAATCTGACCTTATTTCAAAGTCTATCTCCTCATTCCCTTTTGGATGGTAGAGATAAGTAAAAATGTGGCTAATTCCTATGGTTATCAGGTTTCCTCTGAAATGAGTAGCTGTGAACTGTGCCCAAGTCTGCTGTTGGAAACGGTAGATAAATTGTTCATCGAGTATGCATACAATAACCTTTCAAGTGAAAGTAGATATATGTGTCAATGTCTAGCCAGAAACGATATCTTTGCAACACAGTAGGCTTGGGACAAGTCTAATGAAATCACCTACCAAGTGGGGAAATGGGAGCCTGAAAGATATAAAAAGACACAGCCCTGTATCAGGAGAGCAGAAGACATTAGCTTGGTAAACTTCACTACTCACTCAAACATGGCAGTTACTGGCTGCAGAAGGAATCTTTTTGATAGACCAGGATGTCAGAAATAGATATCAAAATGGTCATGCATAGCTCCAGAAATGCCTGCTTTGCCATGCTACGCTATGGCTGTAACAGATTTAGCCAAAGTATGAATACACTAGAGCTGGTCAGAAAACAATTTCTGTTCTATGGGAAATTCTGACATTGATTTAATTCCCAAACAGAACAAAAAGTCAAAATTTCATAATTTCTCACAGGACAGAAATTCTGAATAACTTTGATTGAGACATTACAATATTTTGTGTTTAATAATATTTGAATTGTTTGGTTTGATAAGGTTGGAATGTTTTGTTTTTATAATGTAAAAACTATAAAATTATACAAAAATAGATTAGTATAATCTATTACAATTAATATTTTAATATACTATAAAAGTCTCAATGAAATTTATCAAAATGATAGGAAAAAGTAAAAACAAATAGTTTTGACTATTGAAAATTTAATCGCAATTGACACATTTCCATTTTGATTTTAATGAAACTGCATTTTCTGACAGAAAACTATTTTGTTGAAACTTTTTTGGCCTTTCATGAATTAGTTAGCTCTGGTGCCTCCCACAAGGGGTCTGCAGTTCTCATACTGCCAATGCATACGTAGGCAAAATACCCAGTGTGTGTAACAACCATCTCTTTTCCTTATTTAGAAAGTGCCTCAGGATTGCTCATCGACCATCATCTTCCCTGTCGTGGGCCTGCACAGGCTCCAACCATGGAATGCCTGAGCAGACACTCTGGAGCCGGGCCTAGTGTGCCAGCCTTGATATCCTGAGTGCGTAGCACAGAGCTCCCCTTGAGCAGGAGCGTCCATTCCTTTCTGATTTGGACCATAGAAGGAACAAGGAAGGAAGCTATAAATTGTCATAGTAGGAGGTAAGTTGTGTATCTTATTGGTGACACAAAGCCTTCTCTGCTCCTTGCCCCTCTGCTTAGCAGCCAGGTGGGATTAAGAGAGGGAGGAAGCTTCCCTATACAAAAGCATCTAGAAAGGGAAGCTGCCTGAGAAACCAAGCAAAGAGGGCGGGAACTAGGAATTTGTTGAACTAGTCTGACTGGGTGGAGAAGGGTGAACAAGTGTCCAGGACTGGAGGAAGTGGGAAGCGCAGAAGGGGATAGCATGACGTTCTTTTGAGAGGACTAGCTCTAGTGCATGCTAATTGTACCACACATGGATGCGTTTACACACACAGAAAAAGTTGGTTATGTTTTTTGTACACAAAGAGCGAACATATTTTTAGACTGACTTATTTTAGATTAGAAGAAACAACAGCACATAAACAACAGAAGTTGAGTGTCCAGAATGGAGCACAGTTTGTCTCCTGTTTAACATGCTATCTATTCTGATGCACATAATAGCAACTACCTATGCAGACAGCAGATGCCTAGAAATTGTAAGGTGCATTATACAGAAATACAACTGTTAATTATACAGGTTATAGCCATGATTAACATAGCTGAAATGTGAACAGACTAAGAATACTTCCTGAATCTCTGGATGGGGCACAAGGGAAGTGTTTGTGTGTGTGCGTTTAGAGGGCACTGGAAGTGGGGAATTCCATTCCCAAACAAACAGCACTATACATTTCCTTGGACAAAACCCCCTCTGGCCATTTTAGTTAACCGGGCAGAAATACGGAAGTGTCATTATGCAATCTTTCTGAATTCATATGGGAGGGGACAACATACAGATAAAGAAGGAAGGGGATGGCCCATTATGTTCTTCCACTCAGGCTACTAACCCCCCGCCCTGGAAAAAGCTCATTATGCCCATGACTAACACAGCAGAAATAGGAAGTGGCTTTTTTAAATCTTCCCCTTGCTCAATTTACCCAAGGGATTTCATGATTTAGTTCAGAATACCACAGAGTGACCTACTTGAGAACAAGTGGGTCATGATACAAGTTTAAATCAGGAAGCCTAAAAACCACCCTTCTCTACAAGCAAGGTTTTGTTTGAGTAAGAAACACTTTCTTCTTTCCCCTTAGAGTGACACCCTGGCTTAAGTACAGAGAGATTGTTTTTGTAATGTGAACTGAACTGGCAGAGAGTTAAAGAGGTTCTGGGCCTCGGGGGGTATTGCTCATTGTAGTTGTATTATTTCCCCCTCATACAGTCAAATTCAGTTTGTTCCCAGTGCTCTAGATGTGTTTATTGCAGCCTTTCAAAAGTTTTTAAATACTGACAGGTGACAAGGCTTATCAAGCTTTTTGCCTTTCCTGAAGCAC